CTTATTTTTTATTGAAAAAAAATCATAATATTTTAATATTAAAAATATTAAAATATATTATCACACTTAATAAATATATAAGGTATAATGTAAATTTTAATTTTATTAAATATATTATTAAATGTGTGAAATCATCTAATTTTTCCTTTTCCCGTTTTTATTTTTAGAAAACAATAATGCTTCTCGTTCCAACATTACCCATGTTACTCTAACCTAAAATGGGTTAGGCTTTTGAATGAATTGTAATTATTTCTTTCTCAAAATAAATTTACTTTTACATAATAAACACTTCCTTCTAGATCCGGCATCTTCTTCTCTTATGATTCAACTCTAAAATTCTAAAAGTGAATATATTTGTTCCTCTTCATTTCTTATTCTTTCTCATTTCCTTAAATTTTTATTGTTAAATTTAATATTGTAATCCCCAGATCTCTTAGCTTTATACTTTTTCCATCGAATTTCATTATTTTTATTTTATTCTTGGTTATGAATTTCTCGATTTCATACCGTTGAAATTTCTTCAACTTGGAGGGTTCCTTTCGCGGTCACTCATATCATATGTCTTATTGGGCTTCTTTTGCTTTTTAAAAAGAAGGCAAAACCATAAGTTAAGCCCCTGAACTAACCCCAGAATCGCTATTAAGCCCCTAGACTTTAATTGATGCAGTTAAGCCCTTGAACTCTGGGATCAAAGCAATTAAGCCCTTCTTCTCACGCTATTAAGCCCCTAGACTTTAATTTTTAAAATGAATTGCTTAAGAAGAAGGGCTTAATTGCTTTGATCCCAGAGTTCAAAGGCTTAACTGCATCAATTAAAGTCTAGGGGTTTAATAGCGATTCTAGGATTAGTTCAGGGGCTTAATTTATGGTTTTGCCTAAAAAGAAAGGTAATAAAGAAGAATCCCCTGCTTTTCATATAAAATTTCATTGCGTTTCAACTTTCAACATATATTTTAAATGCGCAAAGATAAAAAATAAAAAAAATTATTTGTACTGAAAATATCATCACCATCCAATGCGGAAGACCAAGAAGCAAAGCATTATGTCAACAGTCTCTAACTTTTCCCCAATCTAACTTTTTTATTAATTATATTAAACATGATAGTCTTGATGATCTAGAAGCAAGAGCTTTCAGGGTGAAGTTACTTGAGAGATAATTAGAAAATGTTTCAACAAAGATTAAGAAAATTATGAACATTAAAAGCACATTTCCAAAGGTATAAGTTAAAAATTTGATTGCCTGTTTATTTGTCCCAATTTTTGAAAAAAATGAAAAATTCTACAAAAACTGAAATTAGACTAATAAATGCAGATTTTTGTGTAAATTAATGATAAAAAAATATATTTATTGCATCTTAACTTATCTCCTTAAGATACAAGTTAGACAAATTTATAAAAAAAATATTTATTAATTTGAGATATGGGGAGTATAAAACATGAGACAAACATTTTATCCGAAAATATAACAAAATTCAAACTTCTTGGAAAACAAAATTTCTAATTACATCTGCTGCTACTTTCTAATATTGTTAGTGATATTGATTCGTTTTTTATTCAATAGGGTTATGATGGTCATTGCATGGACAGAATAATAGGAATACAATAAAGCCGTCGATGCCATCAGGACGCGGTTTGCTTTAAATAATATGAGCCTTACAAATAATCAACACGCGGTCCGCTTTAGATTAATGTTTAAGTATATGGGGGCCCTACAAATAATATTGTCTCTAGATGCGAGAAATTGCTGGAATTCAACAAATTCACTGTGATCACTGTAATTTTTAATAAGAATAATGATAAATAAAATTAAAATTTGAAATAAAAATATAAAATTAATGAAATTTATAT